TTTACATCTTTCTCCTCTAAGACTATTCTAGCCATACAGTTGTTTTTGTTATAGTAACTTTAGTTTTAAGATTATAAACTTCAGGACAGAAATTTAGAGTGACTGTGGTAAATCCCTCATTCTTACGCCTATCAAACAAGGAATGAATGTCTAATCTCAGTGGCTTGACCAACTCCTGGTGTTTACTAAACATTATATAAATATGATATAGCAATTTTGGAATACAACCTGACTTCCAATACTAAGAGGTTATCATAAATACAACAGGCCCAAGTAAAATTGCAAGAAATTTCAGGTGGAAGAACATCATTGCCCAAGCTGGAATTTGACTAGGTTAGTGGTTTACCTTGATATCTACTTTGATAATAAAATTCATCACATTTTGAATTGCAGAGCCCACACATCTTTTAACAACAGCCTACAGGCTTCTAAGAGGCCTACAGAAATGGTGAAACAATGCTGACACCAGTACATTTTGCTACAGACTGCCTACACCCAGAGATGATGCAATGTAACGAAGGAATACTTTGCTGAAGGAAGGCAGCTTTTATGGCTAATAGAGGGTGAAAATACAAACTTTACAGGTGGAGACAGGAACAGTAAATGCTGTGCTACCCCAGGGGAGAAGCTAGTTTTCTATAGAACATTCTTCACTGATAGAGTATGTACATATGGCATATATTTAAGTGCTGGATAGACTTAAAAAAATAGTGAATATATTCAGCTGAGTTCGAAAAGGCCCTAAAGGGTCCAGAAAACTCTCTATGAGGTCACAGGGTGCCTTATCCAGGTAAGAAAAGCTTGTCCCCCAGTTATTTCATAATTCTCTAATCTATTTTTCATGTAATATTTTGCATTATAGCTATCTGCCAGGTTAAATTCTCCTTACTAGACTTTTAACTCTTTGATGGCAGAGACTTTAATCTAAATTTTGCTATTTTTTCCCTGTTGCTGTGCTCTGCTTATATCAGAGTCAGCTATATTCAGCAGTGGATAGAACACTAGACCTGGAGTCAGGAATATTTAACTTCAAATTCTACCTCATCAACTTATTTGCTGTGTGACCCTGGGCAAGTCACTTAACCGCTGTCTACCTCAGCTTCCTCATCTGTAAAATGGTAATAATAGCACTTACCTCCCAAAGTTGTTGTGAGGATAAAAGAAAATATTTATAAAGCACTTTGCTATATAAATGCTAGCTATTATTACTGATAAATATTTCTTTATTATACCTGTTGTTTATACTGCGCACATTGTCACTTAGCTATTTTTTAAAATCCAGAATACGGCAGGGGAGGGCCTGAGAGGCAGGGACTAAACTTATGATTTCATCAGTACAGGAAATTCTTAACAAGGAAGTTTCCTCCACTGTAGTGATGGTAGCTCTTCCTGCAACTTCAAATCTTAGAGAATTCTTAGAATCTTAGAGAGTTCCTAGGGTATTGAAAGTTTAAAGCAGGACTTGACCTACGGCCCCTGAACTCTGAGGCCAGCTCTTAATCCATTACTCCACTCTGCTTCCAGAGTTTACCCTGGCAGATAGCTATAATGCATAATATTACATGAAAAAATAGATTAGGGAATTATGAAATAAAGTGAGATCTTGCAAACAGCTGGGGGCCAGGGGAAAACAGTGGCAGCAGGGAAGAAGGTCAGAGATGGAACTGATTTTGGCTTTAAGGGATGAGAAGGAATTCATTAGGAAAAAGGAGAACATTCTAACCACAGAAAAAAAGCTCGAACAAAGGCATGGAGGTATGAGACTCCAGTGCAGTGCATGTTTAGTGTATGATAGGGTACAGCCTTCAATGGCTACTGAAAAACTTTTAGTTGGCCAGTTAACTAGCAGTTCTAGTTGCTTTCCAGGGTATTTATTCTACATTGAGGGATTCAGTTAGAAAAGTGCCAAGTGTGGAGACACAATATTACGAAGAAACTGCAGATATTTTAATGACCACTCACATAGAGAAGGGGAGTGGGAGTGGGGGGAGTGATTCTTCCTAAAGACATAAAGTTCTGTGGCAAGAACCAAAACATCATCCTGGATCTCAATGTTTACAAGGAATTTTCCATCCTTCTTGACTTTTGTGCTGCATTTGACATTATTGACCATGGTCTTCTGGATATTCTCTCTTCTGTGTTGGTTTTCCTGATACTACTCTCTCCAGGTTCTTGTACCAGTGTGACCTCTTCTTCTCAGTTTCCTTTGCTGGCTCTTCATCCATATCACAGCTAACTGCGGTTTTCACCAAGGTTCTAGCCTAGGCCCACTTCCCTTTCCTCACTATAATTTCTTGGTGATCTTATCTGCTCCCAAGAGTCTAATTATCATTTCTAGTCATATGACTCAGATTTATAAGTCCTGCCCAGGTTTCTTCCTGAACTTTAGTCCTGCATCACTAACTACCTACTGTACATTTCAAACTGGATGTCTTAGAGACATCTCAAACTCAACATGCCAAAAACAACTCATTACCTCTTCCCCCTAAACCAACCCCTCTTCCAAAATTCTCTATTTCTCTCAAAGGCTCCATCATTCTTCCAGTCTCCCAGATATAATAACCTTAAAATTATCCTTGACTTCTGCCATTTTAGCCCACTTATCCAATCATTTGCCATATCTTAATGTTTCTACTTCTTCCAAATTTCTTGCATGTGACCCCCCTTTCTTTCTACTTACACAGCCACCACCTTATTTCAGATCCACACCATTTCTGGCTTAGACATTTGCAAAACTTTCCTCCTAACTGGCCTGCCTGCTACAAGTGTCCACATCATACATAATACATACTCCCAACAGTTGTTCAAGTGGTTTTTCTTCAAAGTAGATTTGATCACTTAATTCCCTTAATCAATTCCAGTGGCTATCTCTTACATTTAAGATAAAATACAAACTTCTGTTTCCCCCTGAAAGCCTCTTACAACCTGGTTTCAACCTGCCTTTCCAGTATTCAATTTGCACTCTACTCGACAGTCAAACTGACCTTCTTGCTGTTCCTAATGCAGAACACTCTTATCTCTTGTTTCTGTGCCTTTCCTCACCTCTGCCTCATAGAATTCCTGTCTTCCTTTGGCTTAAGTACTGTCTTCTACATGAATTCTTTCCTGATTCCAGAAACTGCTAGTACCCTCTTGTCCTATCTATCTTGACCTTATTCACTTTCATACTTATTCTCTACATACTCATATATGAACTTGTCTACTCTGGTAGAATGTTAGCTCTTTGAGCACATGAATTGTTTAATTATTTGCATCCACAGAAACTAGCACAGTGCCTGGCACATAGAAAACATTTAATAGATGCTTGGTTGACGGACTCCAATGGCTCAACAGAAATTGGTGAAGAAAAAAATTAGGATAACATGAGAGAAGTGGAGGCCAAAGACAAGATGAGTGCACGGGATCTCCTGAATAGTCTTTTTCTAATTGATTCTAAAATCATAATACTTCTTAAGTTGATTCTCACTGCCACCATCATTGTTGAAGCTCACATCATCTCATACCTGGCCTACTGAAATTAGCCTCCTGGTTGCTTTCTCTGCTTCTAATCTTTACTCTCCAACACATCTTTCTTGCTTCCAGATTAATTTTCCTAAAGCAAATTTCTGATCATGCCACTCCTCTTGGTCAAAAAACGGAAACTACAATGGTTCTCTATTGGCTAGAGGGAATAAAGTTCAAACTACTCAGCCAGCATCCAAGGCCCTCTACAATTCTAGCCTTCCCCCCAAGAGGATCAGACTTGAAAGGGCTTTTTAGTGAAACTACCTCTTTTTACAGGTAGGATAAAAGGGCTAGAGAGATGAAAGGGTTTGTAAAAGTTTCAAATAAGGAGTGATAGGGTCAGGGTGGGGGAGAACATATGTCTTTGGACCATCAGTCCAGTATACTGAATATGCAGTTAGTCAACATACCCACTGCCTCCCCCATCTCCATTTTCCCATTTCTTTGCTCATGCTGTTTCTTCTATTTGGAATGCATCCCTTACCACTTTTCTACTTCCACTTTAAATCAAAATCCAACTCATCCTTTGTGAAGCATTCTCTCAATTAAAGATCATCTGTTTCCTCCTCTTAACCCCCAGCAGTAAGCATTCACTGAAGCATCAGACATGTGTACTGGAAGAGAACTTAAAAATCCCACCCCTTCATTTTACAAATGGGGAAATTCCAGCTCAGACCAGTAAAGTAAACTAACAATTTCATCATTCCTGGTGCCCTGGCTTTACCTTTTTCCAAGCCCCCTGCCATCCCAACCCTGCAAAGCTCCTTGAGGGCCCAAACCATCTTTACTCATTTTTAAGTCTCTCTCAGCACATAAAGAGGTGCTCAGTATCTGTGCAACTGGATTTTCTCTCTCATATCTAAGAACAGACTGCTGAGAGGGGCGGTTTGTTTTCATGAAAGGACAAATCTTAGGTCCCTGGGAGAGTGTGGGAAAGAAATGCTATTAGCGCCTTTCCCAGGCCCGACCCCTCCCAGTCCTAGGTTGGACAGATGCAGGAGGTGAGGGCCCTCTAGGGACTTGGGTATCCTCTTCGGTGAATTGAGTGGGCAGGTTGTAAAGACCGCTACGCCCCTCTTACAGGGCGTCACCAACACCTTCCTAGACAGGACGGAGAGGGGGTAAACGGGGGTCATTTTGTCACGGTCCAGGCTCCACCCCACCGCCCTAACTCCTCAGTCGTGGCCTCCCGGCCCCGCCCCTAGGCTCCCGGGCAACGGCGGAGGGGGGGGTGGGCGGGGAACCGCCTTCTCAGAATGGGGAGCTTCGGGGAGGCGGGGCTGACCCTCCCGGGGCAGCCTAGGAGGCAGGCGGGGAGCTGGGAGCGGCCCGGGTGGCGGCCCGCCCTCTCACCGGAAGACAGGAGCCGCCCATCCAGCCGGGCCGGTGCTCAGTAGCTCCCCCGTCCGCCTCTTCTTCCTTCTCCTCCAATGGTCCAGCGTGTCCCGCACTGACCTTCGGCTTCCCCCCAGCCCCTGGGACGGACCATCGCTCACCTTTGGGTTCCAGTCCGGCTCAGGTCTGGGCGCCCCCTGGGGGAGGGGTACTACGGCTGCAGAACCCTCTCCGCTCCCGACCCGGAAGGCAGTGAGACGACTTCCGGTTGGGATAGGCTTCCCATCCCCGCACTCTAGTTAGTCCATCGAGGTAAGGGCACAAGACACCTGAAGCTGCGTGACCCAAGTGTGTGGACATCTGCCCCACACGGGGCTGTGGGTGAAAAGTCTGAACTGGCACGTCTAACGCAGAACATCAGGTCATCTAGCATTCCTTTCTTGGGGCAGCTCGTCACCTACCAGTCACTTTCTCTACCCACTAGCCGTTGCCCCGGGAAACAGGGAGGCTGGGCGAAGGGAAAGCGTAAGGCGTGTGACCGGAAGCTGGAAGAATGGTTTCCCGTCGTTCATGCCCTTTTTTCCATCATTAAATATGGCCGCTGCGGCGTCAATGCTAAGTTGGGCGGGGTGTCGGTCTCCCTTTATCAGAGGAGTAACTCTATGACCCGAGAGAGGGAGGCATCGCCACCTAGTGGACAGGAGACCGAGCTTTGTAAGTCGGGAAGGGAAGGGAGGGAGCGTAAGGACGCTAATGCGACGTTGTCATTGGAGGGCAGCTGCCACCCGTTCCCCCTGGATGACCCCGCCTTCCAGCCCGCACTCCCGCCCCCCTCGTGGGCTGGTGACGTTGCACGCCGGCGGGCGGGACTAGCAGGAGGGGACGCTGGAGCGGAGTGTGTGTGGGGGGGCCGAGGCGGGGCGGGGCAAGCGGTGGGGGGGGCGGGGGGCGGCGGTTGGGTAGCGCCGCTTCTGTAGAGGAGGAGGAGGAAGGAGGAGGATGGCGGAGTCCGGGCTCTTGACGGTAACCAGGGAGCGCCCGGGCGGGGGGCGGCAGGTGGGGAGTGGGACGTCCCCTCCGCCAGCGAGATGGCGGGGTGCACGTCATGCCCACATCCCGGAGCCTGAGCCGGGGTCCGGGGGTCATAACTTGAGGGAAGGGGCGAGGCCCGGAGCTGAGAGGACAAGCAGGGCTCGGCACGGAGGGCCCGGAGGAGGCGCCGCCGCCGCCGCCGCCGCCGCCGCCGCTGCTGCTGCTGCTGCTGCTTTCCTGGGCGCCCGGGCCCGGGGAGACTCGGTGCGGGCCCGGCCGTTGCTCTGCGGAGCGGAAAGCCGCTCCCGGCGGCGGGGTCTGGGTCTGACAGCGGCTCGGGCCGGGCCTAGGGAGTCTTCCCGGGACAGCTCCTGGGAGCTGGGGAGCGAGGGGAGTCAGCGGCCGCCGCCGCTGAAGGGGCACGGCGGGCCGGGGACCCAGCCTGTCAGGAGTAGCCCCTTTGGGGCCGAGGAGGTGGGCAGGTGAGGCTCTTCCCCCCCCCCCCAAGCGAGGCTCTCTTTCCAAAACGCACACACACGCGCACAATTTCCCCATTCCCCACCCCGCGAAGACAGCCCTCCCGTGGAAGCCCGAGACTGTGAATTTTGGGTGTGTTTTTCTTGTGAAAGAAGTCGTAGGCATCTAAGGGCTGCCTCCTTCGGGTATGCCTCCTGGTGCCCAACCCTTGATGGTTTAAAAAAAAATCGCTATTATCATCATCATTATTATTAGCTAGCGAATGGGAGCCAAGAACTGGGGTGCTCTGAATTAAAAGAAAAGAAAAAAGTAGTTGAATAGTAATGCTGGAAACTCTTCAGACATATTTACATATATGCATATACATATATATATGTGTGTATATACACACACACACACACACATATATTTTATCACTACATTCATTGTCTTGCCTCTCTTTTCCTCTTTCCTCCCTCCCCTCTAGTATACTTGCTCAGGTAGGAAAATAATGACCTCAAAGCAAAATCTTTAATGTATGTGCATGAGAAATGGGTTTAGTTGTTTGAGCGACTGTGTATTTAAAAACAGTTGGTTTAAATCCTGCCTCATGGCTCTTGGTGTGTGTATGTGTGTACACCCAGGAAAAAAAATTTTTTTTTGTAAGTTATCAGACCTTGAAATTTGGTTTCTGAATTTTCTGTTTGTTGCTTTGTGTGGAGAACTAGTGTTTAATGGGAGTACATGAGATAGTCCTGTTTTAGAACCTAAACCTCTGTTTCTGGAGATACTGAAGAAAAAGGAGGTTAGAGATGCATATTATATAGTAGTATCTGCTACAGGATGATGATTACATGACTGTGAATGTATGTATCTGAACTTACATCTCAGTCATTTTGTGCACTCCTTTAGAAAGCAAGAAACTCACCCCTTTGAATCAATATCAGAGTAAAGTTTCTTTTTTTTATCTTGTGGAAACCCATAATTTGTGACTAAAATGTAGCACCAACAGAGAAAAATACTTTTCTATACAATTTTGAAGAGATTGCTCTCAGAAAAAGAGGAGAAGTATTATGGTTATCTTAACTACATATGAATGCATACATGAAGACTTAGCTTGTGCTGTACATGATTTGTAGTGTAGACTTGTAATTTTATAATTTGAATTAATGAGGCAATGTTTCTTGACAGAAATCTTTAGGGTTATAGACAGTAGACATTTTAATTTCTCTTTTCTATGTGACATAAGTAGAATTTATATGAAATCCGTTTCTTACTCATTTGAGCATCAGGTACACTGTAAATTTTTAAAAATGTAGTTATGCATATATGAAGTCAGTTCAGAGACAAAAAAATTATGGTTAGCTTTCACTGCTTTAATTACATTTGGTTGCATACTGTCTAATCTAGATGTTTTGAACCACAAAACTATCTAAATGTCTTTTAACCAAGGATTAAATAAAATATGAGAATATTAATACTTTTTTGAAGAGGTGAATGAAAGAATTGCGGACCTGACTTTCAAAAATGTTTATTTTTTTGAAAAAAGATCTAACTTTATCTCCAGATCTAATTTGCATCTTAAAACACTTAATACAACATCCAGATTTTCCTTTTTTGACTACTATAGTTTAAATAGAGTGACCTAATGGAAGTTTTAGTAATATGAATCTCTTATTTCTCTTTTGGTTAATGGCTCACAAAATATATTTAGTAGTTTGCAGTTGAATTTCTTTATAGTTTTTATCACGGTATTAAAGTTTCAGTAAAGAGCTGGGTTTTGGTATATGTAGCAAATAAAGTGATCATGTAACTGCCCACAAGCAGTGCCACAGTATTTACATATTTCATGCTATGAAAAGGCAACACTGACTGTAAATTATCTTTGATATACTTTCTGGAATTCTGTTTTAAGAATATTACTGTTTCTTCAGTGGCCTGGGTAGTAGGAACAGATGACTTGTTTTTTCCATTTTCAGAAACATAGAAACCAGAGTCTGATATGGAATAACCCCAAAGATAGTTGCTTTTGAATGGCTACTGTTATATTTTTCCCCTTGCCTTACTGATACGTTAAGTGGGGGAGGATGAATGAAGTTGAGTTCCTTTGTTTTCCAGACAATTAAATCATGCTAATTGGATCTGCTTTTTTAATATGCTGAATTATAAAAAAATCAGTTGTGATATTTATCTAAGATGAGTGCTGTGTTCTGTTAGCAAAAAAACCCCCCAAAAACTTTGTTGAATTCTTTTTCCATGAGATGGTTTTTCTTTGTATGCTTGTAACTCTAGAATCATGTTTTCTGACTTATCAGAATATACTTGTGTGTGTGTAGGAGGCATGGATTAAATGAAATAATATTTTAAACTTACTAAACCAGTATCAATAGTGTTTTCAGTTATTTGGGAAATACTCAGATGTCTAGATTTAGTATTTTAGGATCATAAATTTATTATCAAGTCCAACCCTCAGATTTTACAGATGAGAAAACAGGCCTAGAAAGTTTAAATGACTTGGCCAAGGTCATCCAGATAGTGAGTAGTAGAATTGGGATTCTTTCTCTCCACATCCTGCAGTCTTCTTACATTAATTTAAAAAAATGCATTAATTGATGTTTCCTGGTTAAGTTACTAGGAAAATAAAGTAAAACATTTCCTTGTTGAGGGACTAGCAGGAAAGCTAGGCACAATATAATGTAAAAGTGTTGTTATATCACGAGATATAACAGGAATCAAATACTACTAGAGAGGTAGTAGGTTACTCTCCTGGAGGTCTTCATGGAAAGGTTGGATTACCACTACTAAGGTATGTAGTATTGGGAATTTTTTTTCATATATTTTTTTAAGCAATTGGGGTTAAGTGACTTGCCCAGGGTCACATAGCTAGTGTCAAGTGTTTCGTCTGAGATTGGATTTGAACTCAGGTCCTCCTGACTTGAGGGCCAGTGCTTTATCTACTGTGCCACCTACCTGCCCCTGTATTGGAAATTTTTGTTCAGGTATTGATTAGAATAAATGTTCTCTGAGGGTCCCTTCCAACTTGACATTCTCTGCTAATATAGATTATTAATTAACCCCTTATAGTAGTTTGAGTATGTAGCTTTTATATTAATTGCGACAACAACATTTATATCTGCTTTGTTCTTCCAACATCCCTGGTTATATCTCCTGAAATGTGTAATCTAAAATAATGTTTGGCTTTAGTTACTTATATTTTGTCAGGGAGGTGTCATTGTCTTACATCTTTGTAATTTTATTTTTCTGTGAGTGTGCTGATAAAAGATATAAAATTGTATTTACATTTTTTCTTAATGTAAAATTTAACTGATGTTTAAGCACTGAAAAATGAAATGGAAATTCCTAGCTCTTTACTGTTGTCCTGTGTGACAACATAGGAAGTTTGAAGTGTGATGGAGATTGGATTTAGCATATGACTAAATGTCTTGGAATATAGCTAATATGAGGTGCCTCATATTACAAAGGAAGACTTATAAGTCTGAGAATATTATATTTAGTTTGTGTCCTATGACATATATTTACATTATTGTAAGGTAAACTAGTATTTGAACTGTGTTTTCCCATGGGTTTTTTCCCCATGGCATTTTTTATTCAGCAAAGTGAGTAGGCTTAGTAAAAAAATTCTGATTGCAAAGGACCTTTCAGTTTGGACTTGTTGGTAACATTTGTGCCTCTTGAGAAAGTATGCAGATTCTGGTATTAATATTTTAAAGAGCTGATTAGATTTTCCCACCATTTAGCTAATTCTAACATCTCTAAAGATTAAGACAGACTGCAAAATACAGTGTATGTTATATGATAAAATTTCCGTTATATAAAAGAATATAGGTATTGTTTTCAGAACTAAAGCATGTTAAAGAGAACCTAAGGCTGTCACTGGTGTTAGTACGAAATCAGCCTCCAAGAGCTTTATGAATTTTTTGCGGTTTGGTTTTCATAGCACTATGAAGGGTCTTTTGAAATAATAGTACCAGGGTTAGTGCTTAATCACCTAAGAATTTTATTAACTAATATCACAGTTCTCAGAAAGACTGCATGCTTTCCAAGTTTTTCATATGATTGAGTGGAAACTTCCTATCAAAGGCTAGAGAGAATATAAAATTGGTTGATTTTATCAGTGAAATTCAAAAGCCCGCTTTCCATTCTTTGTTCTACAGCACTTCTACTTCTGAGACTTTAACAAATCTGAAAGTACTTAAAAGACTAAAATTTTTTGGTTTGTATTTTTTCCTATCTATTTTTGCATTTTTGTATTTCCTAATGTCATTGTTTTGAGTAAGCTGATAGCATTCTTAATTTGAAGATGTATAGTATTAATGTTTTAGGGGAGCTTTTAAAAATAAGTTAATTTTTTCGTGCATTTGTGATCTGTTTGTTCCTCTGATCACTCCCCTGCCCCCACCTTCAGCCAAAAGAATATCTGAAAAAAAACCCCATTGTCATAGATATGCATTGTCCAGCTAAACAAATTTCCACATTGGTCGTACCTGAAAATATATGTACTGTATGTTTCGATATTTTAAGTTTATTGCCTCACTGGCAAGAGGTGAGTGGTGCATTTCGTCTGTAGTCTTATGGACTTGTGGTTTATTATGACATTGATTAAAATCCTAAAGTCTTTCAAACTTGTTTTTCTCCACTGTGTTGTCATTGTATAAATCTTTCTGGTTCTCTTTATTTTGTTCTGTATCAGTTCACAGAGGTCTTTCCAGCTTCCTTTGAAGCCATCTATTTTGTCATTTCTTATGGCACAATAATATTCTCTTACATACATAAACCTTAATTTAATTAGCCCTTCCCCAAAAGACAGCCCCTTTGTTTCCAATTTTTTGCTGCTACGAAAAGAATTATGATAAATATTTTTGTGCATATAGGTCCTTTTCCTCTTTGATTCCTTTAGTGAGTGTAAGCTGAGTAGTTGTATTTTTGTGTCAAAGAGTATGCACAGTTTAATAACTTTTTGGGCATAGTTCTAAATTGCTTTCTAGAGTTACTGGACCAATTCACA